GGTTAGAGGAACTAAGACACTTTCTTTTCAAGTACTTCAAGTTCCTTCCTTTTTTGCATGTAGTCTCTTTCGCACAGATAATAATGGTAAAAGACAGATGGCAACAAATAATGTAGGAAGGTACGAATAAAGTATTCAGGGAATATAAGCAGAGAAAGAAAAGAGCTTAATCTCTACAGCAGGGAATTTTATAGCAGTTTGTGAAGAATGTGGCTTTTGGCTTTGATATGAGTTTCAGTGGATAGGACACTTCAGTCAGTCAAGAAGGGCAAACATCCCAGCTTGGGAGGCTGAGGCAAGAGGATTGCTCAAGCCCAAGAGTTTGAGGTTACTGTGAGCTGTAATGACACCATGGCATTCTACTCAGGGCGACAGAGTGAGACTGTCTCAAAATTAAAAAAAAAAAAAAAAGGGCAAACAATTCTAGTAATGAAAAAGGAACAGGACAGAAGGAAAGGTTGTACAGGAAAATCAGGGCTTCCAAGCAAAACCATGAAGGAGGGAAGTTTAAGGCACAAAAAGAAGGCTCATTTGGCTGAAGCCCAGCTGTATAAGGATGCATCAATGAGTTATGCTGAAAAGGTAAGGTGGGGTCTTGAAACCCAGGAGGAACAGAAACTTCTACCTGCAACACAGCCTTTTTGGCTGGTGTATGTTTCAGACATTCAGTGTTTCCTGATGGGGACTCTTGTCATTTGGGGCAGGACATTGTTTGTATGTAGGATTTTTCTAGTCACTGCAGGGTATTTAGCATCCCTGGTCCTTGCCTACTAAATGCTTGTAATGCTCTCTAGTCACATAATAAACAATGACCTCACACATGTCCAAAAGCCCTAGGAGGTGTCACTGTCCCCAGTTTTAGAGAAAACTGCAAATAGCATCTAGTCCAGATTTGAAGGAAAACAGAAGAAGGCAAGAAGACTAGGAGTATACTGTGATGATTCAGAAAAGATGTAGTAACTAGATCTTAAATTAGGGTAATGAGAAAACAAACAATATGAAGATGATTGCACAGAGATCGGAATCAATGGGATGTAGCTCTTGAACAAAAGTGGAATAAAGGATGAATCTAAATTTTAAGTTTATGTGACTGAGAATGATGATCATATTAACTAAATGAGGAAAAAGAGAAAAATGGGGGAAAGTACTGAGTTCCACTTTCACCTGACTGAATATGAAATATGTGAGCACAGTGGCTCACACCTGTAATCCCAGCACTTTGTGGGGCTGAGGAGAGAGGACTGCTTGACACCAGGAGTTTGAGATCAGCTTAGGCAACATAGTAAGAACATTTCTCTACCAAAAATGAAAAATACTAGCCAGGCATGGTGGTATGCACCTGTAGTCCCAGCTATTTGGGAGGCTAAGTCAGAAGGATCACGTGAACCCAGGAATTAAAGGCTACAGGGAGCTGTACTTGCACCATTACACTCCAGCCCTGGTGACAGTTTAAGACCTTTCTCAAAAGTAAACAACAGAATCAGTGAACTTGATGAGTGAATAAATAAACAAACAAGCATATATATCTCTATCCCATAATAAGAATTAGAAATACGTATTTCAAGCTCAACATGAGTTGGGGATGAGAAAGAAAACTGAGATCCCAGGAGAAATACATAGCAGAAAGAGGAAGGAACTAAGACAATAAATTAAAGGAATTCCCTGTTTTCAACCTAGTTTGAAAACCATCATACTTTTCCCCGTAATGGTACTCTTCGGGGTTTTTCGGTGTTGTTGTTGTTTATCTGAGACAGAGTCCTACTTTGTCGCCCTGGGTAGAGTGCTGTGGCATCGCGGCTCACAGCAACCTCAAACTCTTGGGCTCAAGCGATCCTCTTGCTCCAGCCTCCCAAGTAGCTGGGACTACAGGCCACAATGCCCGGCTAGTTTTTCTATTTTTAGTAGAGACAGGGTCTCGCTATTACTCAGGCTGAGCTCAAACAATCCACCCACCTCTCGGTCTCCCAAGTGTTAGGATCACAGGCGTGAGCCACTGTACCTGGCCATGCTCTTCAGTTTGTCAGTTAAAGCAGAGTACATACAGACAGACAGAAACAAGAGACTGACCAGAAGAGACAATAAGACAGGTGGAGACAATGACACAGAGATGTTTTAAAAAGAGATTATCTATGGCACCATTTTTTGAATTTTAAGTGAAGATTGAAAAATATTTTAAAATAAAAATAATTATCCAAATCCACTAACCTCTGAGCTTCTGTGGGCTCACTTATTGTATTATCCTTTCCATTTCTCCTTCAAAAAATTGTTTCTATTTTGTGGTAATACTAATTTCAAAAGCTAGTTAACTGAAACATACTTTTCCCCTTTCTCATACAGGCTCAGCGCCTGTAGCTTAGTGGCTAGGATGCCAGCCACCTACACTGGAGCTGGCAGGTTCAAATCCAGCCCGGGCCTGCCAAACAACGACAACTGCAACCAAAAAATAGCTGGGCATTGTGGCAGTTGCCTGTAGTCCCAGCTACTTGGGAGACTGAGGCAAGAGAATTGCTTAAGCCCATGGGTTTGAGGTTGCTGTGACCTTGACACCATAGCACTCTACCCAAGGCCACATAGTGAGACTCTGTCTAAAAAAAAAAAAAAGCTGAGCTAATTGAGCTAATGCTGTGATAATTGCTCACCCTAGAATATTTCCCAACCTGGTTTTTATTTTGCCTAGACTCATTCAATTTCTCTCAAAGTTTAAAACTACTTGTTTTAAAAAAAGTTTTCAGTCTTTAGAAAACTTATCTACCTCTTACTCAAATTTTCTACAGGTAAGTGAAGTTACCCCTCCCCATCCACAATAAATATTGGGCCTAAAATGGACCCTCCTATAATTTCATTAAATACTCTCAGTAAAGGGCCAGGCAAGGTGGCTTATGCCTATAATCCTAGCACTCTGGGAGTCTGAGGCAGGTGGATTGCTTGAGCTCACGAGTTCAAGACCAGCCTGACCAAGAGCCAGGCTTGGTCTCTAAAAAATAGCTGGGTGTTATAGCAGGAGCCTGTAGTCCCAGCTACTCAGGAGGCTGAGGCAAGAGAATTGCTTGAGCCCAGGAGTTTGAGGTTGCTGTGAGCTATGATGCCATGGCACTCTACCCAGGGCGACAAAGTGAAACTTTGTCTGGAAAGAAAAAAATACTCTCAGTATTTTCAATGATTCTCAAAGTCTGTGGATTCCTCAGAACACATGAGACCCTCTCAAAACTATTTTTACATAACAACACTTGCCTTCTTCACATTGTTGGCACTGGCACTATTAGTACAAAAGCAATGGTGAGTAAAGTGATGGAGTCTTAGTATAAATCAAGGCAGTGTCACTGAATTATTCTGGTCATCACTGTGTTCTTCAATGTCACACACACACAGTTTGAAGTAAACAAGCAGTTAGTTCTGATTTCGAGTGCCCATGGATACCCTACTCTCCAGACATCCAGGAATCACACCTTGAGATCCCCTGCTCTAAGCATTTTATTATTTTTTTATTTTGAGACAGAGTCTCACCATGTCACCCTTGGTAGAGTGCCATGGTGTCATAGCTCACAGCAACCTCAAACTCTTGAGCTGAAGCAATTCTCTTGCCTCAGCCTCCCAAGTAGCTGGGACTACAGGCACCCACCACAACGCCTGGCTATTATTGTTGTCATTGTTTGGCAGGCTCTGGCTGGGTTCAAACCTGCCAGCCCCAGTGCATGTGGCCAGCATCCTAACCACTGAGCTACCTACTGGTGCCAAGCCATGCTCTAAGCCAGTGGTTCTCAACCTTCCTAATACCATGACCCTTTAATATAGTTTCTGTGGGTCGCAACCCACAGGTTGAGAACCACTGCTCTAAGCAGTTTATAACAGCAAAAGTAAAAACAGCTCCATAAGAGAACTGAACACACAGCAATAGTTTAACCTATTCCTTTGACCTATTCAGATTCAATTCGAAGACAATGGTAAGTTATAATTCTCTGCTAAACTCTCCTCCGGATACAAGATTATATCTGGGATAGCCAGCCTCTAAGAATATTTTACTTATAACTTCACTGTTGAAATTAGAATTTTATAATCAATACCTTTCACCTTCAAAGTTTGTGAGACTCTAGTCATAGATGTTTGCTGAACATATACTATGTTAAAATAGAGTCATTCTAGGACTTAGTACTAATGTCTGGCTACTTCCTAAGCACGATCTCAGAAATACCATGTATGCCTTTCCCTTGTTTTCCCTCTACATAATGTCAGATGTTTAAAACTCTAAGCATAACACCTTAAACTGCTTGGAGTAGAGAAAATGAAAAAGCAGAATACAAAATTATTAACAAAGTGCCTATAACATAATACATTTAGGCTAACACTTTCCTCTAATTCTAGTTATAAAATATAAACTTGCATTTTACATTATCTTCATTAAAAAGATAAAATACCGGACCCGCCAAACAACAATGACGGCTGCAACCAAAACATAGCCGGGCGTTGTGGCGGGCGCCTGTGGTCCCAGCTACTTGCGAGGTGGAGGCAGGAGACTCGCTTGAGCCCAGGAGTTGGAGGTTGCTGTGAGCTGTAATGCCATGG